GTCGGGTGAAGTCTATGTAACCCAAATTTGTGCTAAATGACGTTCTTTGCCCAATGATGGAGCGTTTGACATCATTCTTAAGGGCAAAAGTTGTCAAATGGCCAATTTTGGCCAAACCAGGGGAAGTCTGAGTACCCTGATGTCATGGGTCTTGGATTAATTGAATAAGTGTATGGTTTAATTTGGTTTTCTAGAGCTACGGGGTTGATTTTGGAAGTGGGGTTTGAAAGTAGGCACGTTGGGCAGTTTGGTGAGCTGGATCGAGCTAGCCGAACCACTCGGCGGTTCACCGAATCCCCATTGATCACCTTTAATTTCATGCTATTATTGAAGTTTGGTTTTGTACCTTTCGGCGAAAACCTTGAGTTCACCAAGTGCACTCGGCGACTCACTGAATGTCTTCTTTGATCGCCCCCAACCCCTAAAATACACTATGATATTCGGTAGGCTAACCTGTGCTCGCCGAATGATGTCGGCGATAAGCTGAAATGACCTTTCGATCACCGACATGCCATTTTTCTAGAAAATGTTTGAGTCAATCCTTTCGGAGAGCCCGATTTAGCTCGCCAAAGTGATTCGACGTAGCTTGTGAAAGTGATTCGACGTAGCTCGCCAAAGTGATTCGGCGACTCGCTGATCGATTCGGTGAGTCTGTCTGGAACATGATTTCTGTATTTTTCTTGGATTGACTCTAACTTATTTTGGTTTGTTTTGCAGATATGGCTAGACTAAAGGTGGCAAGTAGGGACATGCTGCCCCGCAAGAGGGAAAAGGGAATCACAATATATGAGGATGCAGTTGCATCCCGGGTAAAGGCAACCAAGCGGCCTACCACTGGTGGGAAAGGCAAAGGGAAAGGCAAGGCACATGTGCCTGCATCACCAGAGGCCAGCTCCGATAGTGAGGGGATATATGCCACTCACCTCACCACCTCTGAGAGTGAGGGTGAGCACCAAGACCCTCAGGCTGCAATTTCTGAGCCCGAGGATAATGAGTTATTGTTAGCCCAGAGAGCTGAGTTGCGTTCCAAGAGGTTGAATGATCAGTCTAGGATCAAGACTCCCAGGCTACTACTCCTTCTCTTGTTCTAGATCAGACTGTGGTCCCAGCATAACATGTACATGGTCCTCCTCCCCGGTCTATGAACAGACTGAAGACTGAGGGATTGAAGACCATCGTCGAGGAGAAGAGGTTGTCTACTGATAGAGTAATAGACAGATACCCAACGATTATGAGTTGCTTAATGTCCCATATGTTCCAGATATTCACTAGACCCCATGGCCCTTACGTTCCAACTTGGGTGCGGGAATTCTACACTACCTACGGAGCCCTGGTGCCACAAGGGAAGAAGCAGGCCGCTAAATTCAAGCTGGTTGATTATGTGTTTGTTAGGGGCAAGAAGCTGAAATGTGACAGTGATGACATCAATGCAGTTTTGGAATGCACTAGCAATATCACCGATGACCATCAATATATGATCAAGACAAAGTCATTGGAGACTTTGAAGAATTGGTTGGCCCCTTTGATATTTGATGGCACTCCTCGGTGGTTGGAGACAGGAGCTCCAATAGACAAGAATGACCTCAATGTAGCAGTGAGGTACTGGTTCGACTTTATCAGCAGCACTATCATGCCATCCCTAAATGAGTCTATTATCCACCATACGAAGGCACTATGTCTTGGTTGCATTATTAATGGGCGCAGTCTCAACTTGGGTATGATTGTGGGCCAAGAGATGGTCATGAGGTCTAGGCAGCGCCAAACCTCTCTACCTTTTCCAATGTTTATCACCGAGTTGTGCAGATGAGCCCGAGTGCTCTTTGATATGAAAAAGGATGTGGAAGTGATTCCTACATCTTCTACCGACATCCCGTGGATCGAGTCTGAGTATCTAAAGGATGATGCCAAAAAGAAGAAGGTAGCCCCGGTGGACACCTCCCTGGTTATTGATCCTGACACATTACATGCAGAGGTAATGTTGCCTACCCTGGCCTTGGGCCTTTAGGTATATCTAGTACTGTTCCTTTTGTGACTCATAGCCCCTCCACAGCTCCCATATCTCCTAGGTTTACTACTGTTGCTGCTTCTCGACGTCCACTCACCCAGGTTGCATCATTTCGGATGGTCAGCTAGCCCATTCTACGGATAGGTGTGCCTCCAGGCTTGAAGCCACAATTCCTGTAATGATAGAGAGGACCTTTACTGCTACTGTGACACCTCTTAATGTGTCTATTGATGCCCTTACGGCAAGGATAGCAGCGTGTGAGCAATGCCAGGGGGCCACTGAAGAGGTGACAGCCCTAAATGCCGCAATTTCTGAGCTGAGAAAGGACGTGCACCAACTGAAGTCCACGAATATGACCATCATTTTTGGGAATGTGGAGATCCCCGATATGCCAGCTGATACAGATGTGCCTCCGGCTACCGTTAGAGATGAGGTTTGAGTTGAGGAGGTAGTTGCTACAGAGTTTGAGGCTGAGACAAATGAGGAGCAGCTTGGTGTAGATTAGGAGGCTACCTATGAGGGCCTGACAGAGGGTGATGAGGCAATGATAGATTCAGCCATGCATATTTCATTGGGAGACACCACCATGGCTGGATCTAGTGTTATTGATACCTCGAAATGGATGCCCAAGATCAGAGTGCTGCACCAGGCACTGATGCCCCGACAAATGGAGCGACTGTGTAGAAAGGACCTTAATTTACCTCCCTCTATGTCATTTCTATTGATTTATTATTACTATTTTGTTGCATTTGTGGACAACTGCTTTTATTTATGGTGGGGTGAGGTATTTCCATACCTACCTCTTGTGATTATCATTTTTGTATATATATTGGTTTTTTATATTGTAAATTGTGTTTTGACACTGTTTTGTGGATGTTTGAGCTTATGGCTCCTTGTTTTGAATGTAAATGGTTTTGACCCTTTCTAAAAAAAATTGCCACCTCTTCTGTATGATTGTGGCTGTTCTTGTGCAAATTAGAGTGTGGTTATGATCAATACCGATGACTTGAATAGTGCTCTTAATCGAATAAAAATGAATGCGCGGCTACGACGAGGCCAAATAAAGTTGCATAGACAATATGTGAACTTTTTGCATCTCGTTGTGACTAGCCGATTATCGAATGAGACTCTTGTGATGAACATTGCACACTAACGAAAGTGTGGAGTCTTGTTTGATATTGGTGCCAATGTCTTATGTGATGAGCTTACCGTGAACCTTGTGTGATGACACATAGAATTTTCCCCGTTGGTCCGGTTGACTAAGTGATGCAAGCTCTTGAAATGATCTTAGGCAACAATTGTGAAGAGTGAAACAATTTGACAATATACCTCTTTTGTAGCCAACCTTGTGAGTGTGTGAACTTTGCTTGAAACCCTTTTTGAGCCTTATCCTTTTCTTGGAAGAAACTTGATGAAACTTGCAACCCCTCTTTATCCATTCACCCATAATCCTCATGAAGTGTGGTTTGTTTGAATAGTCAACTTAGGCCAAAAGCCTAAGTTCGACCATGAACCTTTTTAGATGGTTGAACTCTTAATCACTAGGATGGAATCGAAAACCTAAATTATGCTTAGATCTTGATAATGCCATGTTATTTGTATTATTTTTTTTGGTATGTGTAAAAAGATCGATGTAATATAATTTAATTGAATGTAGTGGAGTTTATATAATATGTTAATTAAGCCTAATCTATCTAATATTATACATGTATCAAATGTGTATCTAGTGCATTTGCATGTATCTGGATACATGACTATCTCCCTCCCATATTCTCGCTAGCCTCCCTCCCCATCTCGCTCTCCTCTCTCCTTATTTTAGTGTATATGGTAGCAAAATTCCTTATTTTATTGTATCTAATTGTAAAAATACATGTATCTTTCTCATTGTATGATAAGAAACTCTTAATTAGTAGTAAGATATGTAAATTATATAAAAATATATGTAGAATTAATATATCTCACTACATCAAAAATGATCTTTAGCGGCAATTAGTTAACGACAATAGCTCAATTGCCGCTAAATGTGTATTTTTAGTGGCAATTAACACTCTTTGTATATGTCCCTAAAGCCTTTAGCGACATTGGATCTAATGACACTTAAGTAATGTTGATAAAGACTTTAGCATTCTTTATTAATGTGTTTATTAATTGCCGCTAAAAGGTACTTTTGTTGTAGTGTATGGTATGTATGTATGTACTCTAATAAGATAGTTGTCCTTATCTTGTGTATGGTTGTAAGGAAATACGTATACCACAAATTTAAAAAAAAAACACGTTAATGATTAAATATATGATTAAGTCCAATGTAAAGTTTAAAATTAATTTGCATGGTTTCAAAAAAAATAGTTATGTAATTTAAACATGTGGTAATTAGTTCCAAATATTGTCACCTTTAAGTTCCTTCGGAATTAACTTGACTAATTTTTAAAATTAAATTGGATTAAGTTTAATATTTTAAAATTTCAAAGACTAAACAAAAATTACTACTAGAAGTTGCACTTTTTCTCATATCACTTTAGTGAAAAAATGCATCGTGTCTTTCAAATATTTTCGAATTGTATTTATATAGTTTATAAATATATATAAAAAAATTAAATGATAAATTTTCAGCTAAAAATTAAATTTGATACTCAAAATAATTAAAACCAAGGGGTATTATTTTCCGGTATTGAAACAAATATAATTGTTTGTCAAAAAATTCAAAAAAAAACTCGGGGTTAAAGCAAACTGACAACTTCAATAGTAAAATTTGGTAATTAACAAAAAAATTAGAGGACTCGTAGTCAAATTTGGTAATTAGCAAAAATTTAGAGGATTAGGCTTAATTAACACTTCTATAATATCGCCAACTATCCGAACACTAGATGGATTAGGCTTAATTAACACAATACTAGACAGATTAGGCTTAATCGACATATCATATAAACTCAATTACATTCAATTAAATTCTATTACATCGATCTTTTTACACATACCAAAAACAATTACAAATAACATGGCGTCATCAAGATCTAAGCATAGTTTAGGTTTTCGATTCCATCCTAGTTATAAAGAGTTGATCAACCATCTAAAAGATTCATGCTCGATGGAATTTTCCACATCCCCATGTATCAAACTAAAGGACGTATTTGGAGACTTAGAGCCATGGCAAATTATCGATGGAGAGAAAACATGTTACTTTCTTACGCGATTAAAGAAATTCAATAATTCGAACAAGAGATTCTCAAGAACAGTTGGGAGTGGGACTTGGAGTGGCCAAACAAGTGGTATTCCCATTAGAGATAAATCAAATAGAAATATTATAATTGGATATGAGAGAAGTTTGAGGTATAAAAGTGGTATTGAAAAAGATCAAAGTGAAAAATGGCTTCTGAAGGAATATTTTTTGCCTGATGAGTATATTAAGAAAAGCAAGAACAAGGATATATTTGCCATTTGTAGAATTAAAGAGAAGACAAAAAACGATGAGGAAAATAATAATGATGACGATGATGATGATGTTAAGGATGAAGATGTTGATGGATTACTGGATTATCTATTTGAAGGAAATTATGATCAAGTAATTAGCAATGATAATAAGAATCAATTAGAGGGTAATTATGAAGTGAGGACAAGTGATGAAGCAAGTACAAGTACATTAAACAATAATGGAATCAATCCATATGAGAATTCAAGTATTGAGTCTGTATTGGAAATGATTGAGTTTTAATGTTTATAAGCATGAAAATAGCAATGCTATGAAGTACTTTTTTTTTTGTTACATTAGTCATTAGGTTATAAACTTATAATAGCTTGAATGTGAATAATTTTCGTTTAGAAAAATATGAATTTGCAATTGAGGATACATTGTTGCATGAGTATTTGTCTTTAAATATTGAAGAAAACTAATTAATACAATTTCATCTTTTAATAGCTTGATCATCCTTGTTTTGTTTATATGGCAAACACATGTTTAACCTTTTCAATTTTTTATTTTTATAAATAATAATGTTACCATGTGAAGTTAAACGCAAAAAACAGTGAACTAAGAATAAAAAAAGGCAATCCTAAATTAATAATATTTTTGTGCATGTGTATAACTATTTAAGGCCTCTTATTATAATTTGGTGTTAGACTATAAATTTTATTGAAACGTTCTTGAAACAGATCCAAGATATTTTCTTTTAGAAAAAAAGAAAACATAATACTTAAGTTTTTCCAGAGCAAGCAAGTCAGCGAATGCTTGTCTACCTCAACAATGCACTTGAGGTAGACACTTGGTATATAATCCGATATACAAGAAAATAGACAAAAATACAGCCTATATACAGATGTATACATTCAGTGTATACATGAATTTTCAGAAACGAAAATGGGCCAAAGCCCAATTTTTCTTTGCACAACAGTAGCAGCGGGAAGCAGAAATGGGCCACGAAATGCTCTTTTTATACCATACTTTATTGGAAAAATTACTGAAATACACGTCTTATGTTTCCCTTATTTCCAATATTCCCTTCTATTTCTAAAAACCTCTAAAATCTCTTATTTCTCTCCTAATTCTAAATTATTTTATAATGTATCCGAGCTAGTTTTTAATGTATCCGAGCTACATATTATGTATCCGGTTTATTTTATAATGTATCCGAGCTAGTTCTTAATGTATCCGAGCTACATATTATGTATCCGATTTGTTTTACTTTTTCAGGGATTAATGTAATTACAAACTAAATAGGGATAGATTGTAATTTCATATTAAATCTATGTGATTCCTAAAATTTATACTAGGCAGTATTTTGGTCTATTTTATTGTATATCAGATTGAATCTTTGGAACTTTGATATAGTGGCAGCTCGAAATCCTTCAATAGGCTATAACATCTTTTTGCTTCAACATTTGGTTCCTCCTCAAGTAAATCATCACCATCAGTGTGTGTAGTTCCTCCATCAAGATTAGGATATAAATCTCTCAACAGTTCTTCTACTAGATCCTCACTCTCACATTCTTCTACTTCATCACCATCTTCATATTCAAATTCAAATTCATATTCAGATTCTGACAATGGCTCACCCAAACATTCTCCATGGTGATACCAAAAAGTATAGTTCTTAATTATTCCATATACTTGTAAATGTGCCTCAACTGTTTTACGAGTTTCTAAAGTTGTATTGTAACATTTGACACATGGACATCGTATTTCATATTCTTCTCATGTTTTCTGAAAAGCATAATCCAAAAAGTTTTGCACACCTACTAAATAGGTTTCATCGAGTCGATGCTCAAATAGTTGCATCCATTGCTTACTAGGAGCCATAACCTTGAAAAGTACATAAAAGTTAGATTAAAAAAGATAAAGTATAAAAAAAAATACGAAGATCCATACAAATTGTTATAATTAGATGCACAAAACATAAATGTGTGTTATGAATTATACACCACTGGTTAAAACGTATATTGTTTGTCTAAAGGTTTTATTCATGATGTTCCATTTAACTCATGTTAAGATAAGATAAAATGGAGTATCTAATTATTTGATAGAGAAGCTTATTGTACATCTCACTCAACTCACATGTGACTTTTTGGATTTCAAAAATGATTCAAATGCATTTTTTAACAAAAAAGTACAGCTCACTCAACTCACATGTGAATTTTTGGATTCCAAAAATGAATAAATGCATTTTTTAACAAAAAATTAATCCAATTACACTAACAAACATAAAAAATTACTTATCTTAAAACATGTAATCTTCTATAGCTTTGTACTTACACAAAAAAGTCGCTTGTGATTAAAAATATTCTTATTGGTAGTCGCTTGTGATTAAAAAGTCTTGGCTCATAACTAACTTATCCTAAAGTTAAGAATTACCTAATCGCATCTTCAAACTAATACATAAAGAAAGAATCAAGAAAACTTGTAATTCCAACTATATGCTACATTGGTTATAAGTCCAAACTCATAATACAGGTGAATGTTTATTTAAGTTTGAGAATTAAATTTAAATTCACATATATATATGTCATGCAGCTGCGCATAGTATTATAGGATTAATATAAAATTCTATCATACTTGATTTATCAGTCATGCAGCTGCGCACAGTGGTTTTGGGTCTGTGCAAGGTCATGGATATCTCATCTCTTAGATAATAACCTAAGACATGATGCTACAGCAGCCGAGCAAATGACACCTTTTATTTCTGGAACATGAATCTGTTGACAATCGCCTATGAACTTGAGTGGTTTATGTCATTTATTATGTAACTGTACTTTTACTATGAAGACTGTTCTTTGAATCTATAGTATCTTTTTTTCTGTAGCAAATGATACAACTAGTAACACATGTGATTCAGTTCTTTAGAACATAATAATCATTTTTTTTGGTTTTTCACTCCGTGTTCAGTATCCGTTTTGGGGCACCGACTAATATGGACAACTGTTGTGTAAGATTCATTAAACGAAGATGCGCTCTATACCATAATTTTTTCCATTTTCAGGTCTCAAAGTTAAGCTTCTGGTTAAAGGTTAAGGAATTATATCCATCCTACAACAATCCTAAGTGACAAACAAGATAACCGTATTAAACCTAATCTTCCTGATGATATGAAGTTGTACAGTTAAGACAGTCGACATTTTAAAAAAATCTAGAGTTACTGCATTGAGTTTTGAAACATTTCTTCTATTTATCATCAGGTTCCAGTTGGAGAGATTTCATAAAGGGAACAAAGAGGGTAAGGCTGTTATTACCTTATATTGCTGGTTAAGAAATGAGAAATTTGGCCTCCAAAGTTGAAAACAGAAGATCCCAATAAATCTTACATTCAACGACCTATGAAATGAGGTTAAAAACATATACTCAATTAATTTTGTTTTAGTGATATTTAAAGCTTGAACTGGATATGGTGGAGTGTAAGTTTCACGCTTGTATCAATTTGTATCAGTAGCACACTTAATTATTCTACAGCAAAATATATTTAGCTTATTTTAGATGTATATTAAGTTAGACAAGTACAAATATGGGGAGCCCTTAATTATTGCATTTGGCATAGATTTCTGTGTATGAACTGAATCCTGATAGGGCTATTCGTAATATATTATATGCATATACGTCATGTGATATATGAGTCACCACTGTAAAGTTTTATCTATGGAACTTGATTGTCCATTATAGTGGCACTATTTTTCAATTATAGGAGTTAAAAAAGAGGAATAACAAATATATTAACTTGAACACAACAATGAAAAAATGACATCAATAAAACATATAGAAGAAACACAACAACTCGATTGGAAGAGGAACAAACCTGGAATTCTGTTTCGAGCAAAACTGAGGTGGAATTCTGTTTTTGGGTAGAGCAGTAATGACACAAGCAAAAAGACGCGATTAGGAGAGGAACGTCAAGATTAAGCAGGAAGAACAAAAAGAGCAGCTTGAATACAACAATGAAAAAATGACATTAGTAAGAGAATTGTCTTGGTCAGAATGGTTATGTATCTCAAGAAAAGCTAATTGCAAGCAAGATAGGACTATTGTTATTGTTGATTAGCTACCAAATTACCTGCAGGCTTATTTTCAAGGCTATTAGTCCCCCCTTTTGTTAATGAAGGGTTACATGTAGTTATTGTTTAGATTGCTTGATACAATAATACTCTCAATATGGCCTATATACAGCCTGAATGCAATGAGAGTGGCCAACTTTTGGGAGATATCCAAGAGATGGAATGCACAGCAAAATGCAATGCAGCTGAATCAAACTAGGTTATATGTGTCTTAGTATATATGTTGCGTTTTCACATGTATATACAGTTGAATTCCACATAATTGATTAACTAAACAGATGATTGACGACTATAATCAGTAAACCTGGTCATTAACATGCACCATTCTGTTTTGCAGGTTGGGAGTACATATGAAAGTCTAATAATTCAGACTGAGACTAAAGCAAGTGCAGCTATAGAGGTTATTAGTAACCCAGTCATTCCAAATACTTATTTTTCTCTAGCATTATTCCAGAGCAGGTGGACATGTGAATTATGTGATGTGACTCAATCGAAAGAGGAACAAACCTAAAATTCAGTTTCGAGTAAAGCTAGGGTGGAATTCTGTTTTGATTAGAGCAGCACCGATATAAGTAAAAAGACGCGATTAGGGCAGAGGAACGTCAATATAAGATTAGGCACGAAGAACAAAAAGAGTAGCTTGAATGCAACAATGAAAAAACGACATCAACAATACATATAGAAGAAACACAACAACTCGATCGGAAGAGGAACCAACCTAGAATTCTGTTTCGAGCAAAGCTGGGTGGAATTATGTTTTGAGCAGAGCAGCAACAATACAAGAAAAAAGACGCGATTAGGGCAGAGAAACGTCAAGAAACGTAAAGATTAAGCAAAAAAGCGTGAAGAGGGCAAAGTTATGACCTTGATCGGTTCCACTGGCGTTATCAGAGCTCAAACTAAGGCATTAGGTAAGGGGCTGCTGTATTTTGAGAAAAAACAGAACGATGGTCTTTTTCGTTTACCCAGCTTCAGTATACTTTAATTTAGCGCTTAAATTTTTGTTAAAAATGAAATTTCATTTTTTTAAATATTTTAGTATAAAAAATGGTGGAACTTTTATCCCACTCTAGGCCCTCAATATAATTTGGGACCAGTTTTTAAGGACTAGATTTAATACCTTCTCAATAAAATGTACAAATAAGGACCGAAATATAATCTCGTCTCAATAGATATACTTTTAGAGACATGATAATTCACTCGTCCCTAAATGTTGGTCTTAAATAAGACTTTTTCTTGTAGTGTGAACTTATGATTGGATCGGTAGTCTATAATTCTTGTCTTTTCAAGTATTTTGATATTATTGTGGTTGTGTGTTTTTCGTTGGGATTTACTCAGCACCAAAAGAACTTTGAGATGGAGGCTCTCCCATTGGTAGATGCCTGTTCTCTAGAAGAAATTTCCTTCTCTCAAACTACGTGCCCCTATAGGATTATCTTTAATGACTTAAGCTAGTGGATTCACTTTAGCGAGAATAAATGATACGAATTCTTACCTTGGCAAGTAGATTCCGATGTCATTTTAGGTATGGATTGGTTCTCTCCTTATGATGTTACTCTTAATTGCAATGTTAAGATGGCGACCTTAGCGATGCCTGGCGTTGCGAGGGTTTAGTTGAAGAGTGTTAGTGGTTTTTACCCTAGTAAAGCTATTTCTTTCCTCCATATTCAGAGATTGGTTGATAAAGGGTATTTATCTTACTTATCTTTTATCCGAGACTTTAGCATTGAGATACCTCCCATGGAGTCCATTCCCAGGCTTCAGGAGTTTGCATATGTATTTCCTACTGATCTTCTATATGTTCCTTCTGATAGAGTCATTGATCTTGCAATTTATTTGGTGTCGGACACCAAGATCATCTATATTCATCCTTATCGCATGGCCAACAGAGTTGAATGAGCAGTTGCAGGTCTATTAAGTAAGGGGTTTATTTTCTCTAGTATGTAACCTTAGGGTGCATCGGTCTTATTTGTGAAATAGAAGGATGGTCCTTTGAGGATGTGCATCAATTATAGACAACTGAACAAGGTCACTATTAAGAACAAGTATCCTCTTCCGCGCAATGATGATTTGTTTGATCATCTTTAGGGTCTGCTTTGTTTTCCAAGATAGACTTGTTGTCTAGTTACCATCAGTTCATGATTAGGGCATCAGATGTCCCTAAGACAGCTTTCTAGAGTAGGTATGGTGATATACCGTGAGTTTACGGTATTTTTGATATGTTTTACTTAGAGTTTGTGTGTGTCTTAGGCCATTTTGTTATTAGAAATAATGTTTTGTGCATAATTCTTGCAGGAAATAGGCTTGGATGCAGTTGATGAGGATGCGAGCTGAAAATTGCTGAAGTAGCCACCAACGGTGCCATCCACGGACCGTAGGTCCATCGACGAACAGTTGATGGGCATTCGTAGGTTGTTGATGGGCAGTCGTAGGTCTTGGCCTTGGAGATGAGTTTCTGTAACTCAAACCACGGAGTTCCAGGACGGACCGTAGTCCAGTCCACAGACCGTATGTGGTGCATCGTAGGTGGAACATCAGGGAAGTTTGACAAGTGTGGAACCACAAAGTAAGACGACAGACTCTAGGTCGACCCACGGTCCATCCTGCACGTTCGTCAATGATGATTTGAGCGTTGAAGGTTCCAGTACCTAATGAAAGTTTCTAAGTGTTGAGCCACGGAGAGGACTTACGGACCATAGGTCGACCCACGATCCGTAGGTCGAAGCATCGTTTGAAACCGCGTCCTGCCAGTTATTTCCTTATTTTGTTTCCTGTTTTATTTAGGAGTTGTTTTCTATAAATAGAAGTTATAAACCTCATTTTTGGGGGTTAGACATTATTGTATACTTTTAGTTTTGGTCTTTTGGGAGTTATTTTGAAAACTCTTAACATTCTAATTTCTGGAAGTTGGTTAATACGATTTTCACTTTGAATTTCAATTCAAGATTTGGGTTTTTATCTATTCTCATTGTAAGTTCATGAATTCTTTTTACCCAATTATGAATTGTGTTCTTTCAAGCATGAGTAGCTAAATCCACAACTAGGGTTGTGGGAACCATGAGCAATTAAAATAGAATGAATGATAATTATGTAATTCTTGAATAGTGCATGTATTGTTAATCCTTTCATTTAGAAGTCTTTTAAACGGTTGCAAATCTTAGAACTCGCCTCATTCCTACTTGCTGGACCAAGGAGGTAATGAATGAGAAAAAAATTAACAACAGAGATGTAGTGGATACTATCTAATAGTCTAATGTCAATGGGAGCGAGGGTGAAAACTAAGTCATGCATTTATGTGATGTCTAATTTGGGGTAAAGGTAAGGTTTAGTACAACATATACCCGTAGCTGAACCAAGGTGCGAGGTGAAATTCCCTACTTGGAGGACCAATCACTTAGGGATACCTAACTTACCAACTTTGCATGTAAAACCCTAGGAAAGGATTACTATTATTAGGATTACTGCGTTAAGAGCTTATGGGGAACACATATGCCCTAGTTTCTCTCTTATATTGATTTCTCAAACTGATAATCTTGCTTACTTATTACTTAATCAACAATTTGTTACTTGCTTACAAACCCCCCCCCCCCATTTATTTACTTGTCTCGGAAATAGTTTTACTAAACATATATAATAGTTAGTTAAGTTTAAGTGTGAACCATATTCCTCGTGGGATCAACCCCAACCTACAAGTTGGGTTTTTTACTTGATAATGATCACTTATACTTCTTTAGGGAGGTGTAATTTGAGCGTATCAAATTTTGGTGTTGCTTCCGAGGAATTTGGCTTTTAGATTAAGTTTAACTACATTATTGAACTTTAGTCAAGTATTTCCTGATTTTACATTTTATTTTGTTTTTGTTTTCTACAGGTTTCTACTCTAGTGTATGCCAAGTACACGGAGTTGAGGCAAACCATTGACCCCTTACGATCCGGAGTTGAGCAAAACTTTGCGAAAAATGAATAATCAAGGGGTTCACGACAATCCAATTGGAGAGAATCTAGGTGATGGAGTTGAATTGCAGCCTCCAGGGGTTGTAAATGTCCACGCTCAGGTTCATGGTGGTAATCTAATCAAAGATACAGAGAGGGTACAAAATCCGCCAGCACCGAGGTTGCGTGATATGTACAGGGTTGGCTTTAATATAGTTGAATCAAAAGGGCCCATTGTTCTGCCTCATCTACCTCTAGGGCATACATTTGTGGTAACCAGCAGTCTGATGCAAATGCTTACAACACGAGAGTTGTTTTCTGGTCTAGCTTCAGAAGATCCATATGGTCACATGGCAAAATTGAGAAGTGTCTGCAAGAGTTATGTGGGACGACCAGAATTGGACATTTGTTTAGAAGTCTTTTTAACGGTTGCAAACGTTAGAATTCGCATTATTCCTACTTGCGGACCAAGGAGGTAATGAATGAGAAAAGAATTAACAACAGAGATTTAGTGGATGCTAACTAATAGTCTAATGCCAATTGGAGCGAGGGTGAAAACTATCCTACCCACGACATGGAGTTGGTGACAGTGGTCTTTGTGCTTAAGTTTTGGCGTCACTACTTATATGGTGTTCATTGCAAGGTCTTCATCTATCATAAGAGCCTTCAGTATATATTCACTCAGAGGGATCTGAACTTGAGGAATCGTAGGTGGCTGGAGTTTTCGAAGGACTATGACATGACTATGTTGTATTACCCATGGAAGGCCAATATTGTAGCGGATGCACTGAGTAGGAAGACTTCTTGCATGGGGAGTCTTGTCACGATATGAGTGGATGACAGACTGTCAGTTAGGGATGTTAAGATATTAGCCAACACTCTTGTCTTATTTCATATTTCAAAGGATGGTGGTGTTATTGCCTTTGTTGAGACCCGATCTTCTTTGACTAAGCAGATTAGAGAGGACATTTTGATGATGAGTAGTTGGGTATTATTTGAGACAAGGTGTTGCAGGGTGAATTTAAGAAAGTGACACTTGATTCTGAGGGAGTGGTGAGGATTGGAGGCATGATTTGTATGCCTAAGATGGGAGAGTTGGTCAGACTGATCTTTGGGGAAGCACATTGTCGAGGTACTCTATTCCAACAGAAGCGGCCAAGATTTACCATGATTAGTCAACATTAATAGTGGTGCGGTATGAAGAGGGACATTGTGGAGTTTATGGCTAGGTGCATGACTTGCCAACATGTCAAGTGTGAGCATCAGCAGCCTAATTGTGTGTCTTAGAGGATGTTCATTCCTACTTGAAAATGTGAGTGTATCACTATAAACTTCTTAGTGGGTTTTCCAATCACCATGGGTGGTTATGATTCAATTTGAATTATGCAATATAATGCACATTAGCATTTCAAACAATGACAAGTTACTACTGAAAAGCTAAACACAGCCCTGAAACTCAATTCCAAGTTGATTGGCCAATTTTATTTATAACAAAACTACTTCACATCAATATAATGTTAAACCATTCAACAAACTAAGAAAACAGTAAATTTAATAATTTTAAGGTCAATATATATGGATGAAAGAAAAAGATTTCACTACAAATTATGAAATGCATTGTACTGCCAAAACTCCTGGAGAATAACTTTACTGAGGTCATTCATGCCCTTTGTCCACTCCACGAGTAGTTGTGACTCTAGAAAGCTTCTCGTCCTAGCAGAATAGAATACCAAAGAATCTACAACAGTTCAATCGTTACATTTGGCAATTTATAAAAATTGAAAGGAACACCATGACATTAAATATGAATATGAAAACGAAAAGGAATTCTAAGGAACTTTGGAAGCAACAAAAATATTGAATAGCCTGCAATAATTGTAGAAAATTAATTCTACTTATATCGATTTGTCTAATTGATTATTGTAAACAACATTATTATGAACAATATCGGTACAAAAACTATAAAAAAAATCTATCATGTTATACTAAATTACTATTTGATATTAAATTAATTAGATATATTATAACATTTTAATTTAGTTTAATGGTGAAATGTTAATTCAACTTTGCACTTTAGAGTTTTCCACTTTTAGTATAATATACTAGTTCTCTAACATGCGTGTTGCATGTACATCTCATGCTAAATAGTAAGTATTTTAAAAGTTCAAGAATTTGAATTATTTTTTTTAGTGAAAAAATAAATACAAAATTTTATAAAAAATCTAATTAAAGAAGTCTAATAGAGAGAAAACACACAAAAATATCACAGATATTCAGTTCATTAATAATAATTATATAAAAATCAAGGTGAAAGAATAAAAAAATTGCGCCCACTAAAACCCTTTATACATAGCTAACAATGGATATTCTAAACATATATTTTATTGTGCCCTATCAGAAAAGTAAAAACTCTTCCAAAAAGTCACAATCCTTCGAAAAAGTTATAATCCTTCGGTAAAAGGCAAATCTCTTCAATGTTAAAAGGTGTCTATTTTTAATATAATATCGTATAAAATATATATTAAACTGAGTGTTTTTAGTTGCATATATTATATTAATGTAACATTCAAGTTATGAATTTCATATTTTTAAAATTATATATAAATAGATAGATAGATATAATCTAAATAGACTTGACTGTTCTGATGAGGTTTCCAATGAATCCATTAATGACTTATTATTCAATAAAAAGCACATCCTTTTTAATTTGGCATATGTTGATGACCTATTGTTATTTACTAACCCTATCAATAAGGTGCTCAAGGAAATCCCAAGCATGAAAAAGGTAACTAGACAACTCCTTACCAAAGACTATTACCTTCCCGAATAACTAGTTTGTAGTGTTAAGAGAGGCTGCTAGTTTTATGGAGCATACATTTATTTTTTTTTATTTGAGAAAGAAAAAAGGCAAATATTTTTGATAACTGAGTTATCAAGATTGTCAACAGAATTAATGGTTGACAGAGAATCTTCTTTATACCCATTTCTTAATGTACTGACTTTATTTTAGAGAATAACCAAAAATCCTTTCTCTAAGAATGATTATTCTTTTTTTTTATTAGCCTTACTTTTCTTCATGAAAATAATGTATACTAATTTATCTCTGTTACATATAAGTAATGTTTTCCAAGGAAAAAAATAAAGAGGATAAATAAAAGGTTTACCTCATCTGTCAACCTTTGATTTTGTTCTTTCAAATTTTCTAAATTGCTTGCTCTTTTAGAATCACATTGTGGGCATATAATTTTCTTCACTGCCTCTTTCATTGCTATATTCTCACAACGGAATCTTTCATTTTCTGTCTGGAGAGTCTTGTTGTCTGATTTCTCAATTTGTGTCTGATGAAATATATATAACAAATATTTATCTCACACATATATATATGAACTAATTAAATGTAGAAAGAGAATGAAATTAATAGTTTCTAGGATAATAGCTTTTTTCTTCCCTAAAATATAAGTCCGTTTTGACTTTGCTCCTTCTGACATTTGACGAATCACATTTAACTTTTAACTAATCAAAATATGTATTTGTAGTCATTTTATGTGAGATGTATGCCATATGAACTACTTTCAAAATTATTTTACCATCAAATATGAAGAAAAATAACACATGTAATTAAGTGATAGAGCGATCAATAATTACTAAATTTGTGAATAATCACAAGAAAAGGAATGAAAATGTGCATTTAAATTAATTAAAGGTCTATGTGCTTAGTTAGACATTGCAAGTATCATAATTAGAACTAAATAATAATTGAAGGGCCAAATGTTTTATTAAGCCTTTGTTATAATTCCTCCATCTTTGCTTAAAACTTCAAATCCTCGCTAATATTTTAAACAGCGTACATTTTCTTCCTCTTATGAAATATATATTTTTAAGGATCAATTTCTACATTGGTGAAATAATAGTTCATGAAAATAGGCATATTTTCATGGGGATCACTTTTGGCGCAACTCAAGGTAGCATGTTAAAAAAATGTTGGCTGATATAGATAAATTATAAAACTCAAATTATTCATTAGAGATCAAGTTAAAATATTTTTTAAGAAAATATTTGAGATTTAAACATAGTCATAGTTAAATAAAAATCACTTTGCCTGGTAATGAAGAAAATAATAAGAAAAAATTAATAAAAATAAATTTTTGTTAGAGTTGGAAAATTGGGTTGTGATCCATTTTAAGCTCAAGTTAGTCCAAAAAACTATAACCTTCTCATTTATTTATTCAAATCATTTTCACTAGCCTACACTTAGTTTAGTCACCACTTAGATTTCTTTCATTCATCAAATAATTCAAAAAGAAAATCATTAGTTCTTAGTTATAAAATTAGATTTTCTTTGACTTTGAATTCTCAAAATCAAATAGAAATATAAATTTTTGTCCATTTATTAAGTCCTTGATAAATTATTGATCTCGTTAGGGATTTCATGTATTTCAAATAATTTTACATGATTTTATCATTGGTTCTAATGAGTTGTAGCTCAATCAAATTGGAGGCCGAACGAAAATACTTAAACTTCTTTAATAAAATTCATTTATTAACGAGGCAAGGGCCTTTTCTTCAAAATCTATTGATCAATTCAACAAGACAAAATACATACCTGATTTAGGAAATCTATATTGAAATGAAAAAGTGAAATTGTCAATAATAGAATTGATATTACATAAACGGAAAAAAATTGAAACGAAAGAAGAAATAAGTGTACCAATTAATAGAAGAGGACAATTTTTGTATCTAATCACACATTCAGAAAATTACCAAATATAGATAAGCAATTTTGGGGCCTAACGTAAGAGATTCACTAATTTAGTCATGGAGGTAACCCTACTTTTAACTAGTCATTTGTTTTTTAGATTCTTGCCTAATCTAATGAAAATATAAATTATTATTGGTCATATTGTGTAAAATTTAAATAATAATAATACTAATAATAATAATAATAACAATAATAACAACAACAATAACAATTAAAAATAAATAATAATAATAATTAATACCTTTGTTGTGGTCTTGTTGTTATAAATCCAAGTCTTGATCTTCTTAGGGTTAAGCCCTACCTCCTTACCAATTTGAATTAGTTGGTCCTTATCAGGATGTGGACATTTCTTCAAGAATCTTCATTTCAAATTCAACCAAAAACACACCATTAATAACCATTTTTTAAAGAAATATAAAGCCTAAAAATGAAAAAACAAAAGGCCTCATGTTCGTGTCCTACCTTTTTCAGGCAAAATTTGATTAGTGAAACTTTTCAATGGGAATTTAAATTTGATGAGCTCCAACAAAGGTATCAAACACCAACCATGAGTAAGAGATTATTGTTTTGTTGCAAAAAGGATAAATACATTAAAATTAAATAAACTCATAGCCCTATGCTAAAGTTATTAATGAAGAACAAATTGATTCATTTATGAAAAATGCATATATATGGTATAACAACTAGGAAAATAATCTATTTTTAACCATTTTAGCAACTCAATTTAGAAAAATTGATTAGCAAAATAAAACATATAGATTTTTTACTAAATAATAATGGACTTATTAAATAACAAAGGAAAAAAGTAACACAATAAATCAAATGAGAATTAAACATAAACTAATTCACAAAAAAGTAAATATAAAAAGATAAATTATTATATGGATAATAAATTTTGATTATATCATTTAGAAAAACAACATAATCGTTTTAAACAAGCAACACAAAAAATTGAACATATATTAAGGTTCAATTTCTTTTTCTTTTTTTTGTAAATAAAATTGATCTTACTCTTTAAGATGTTGAACTTGTTCCACAGTGTGTCGAAAGCATTTGCTTTGCTTGTTTGCTTTTTTTTGAGAGGTTGATGAATCTCCCACATGTTTCTTTTGTGAATTTGTCATTTTCTTTGGTAAATTCCTGTTCGATAAAATAAAATAACAAAAGAACACAGAAAATCAATTAATAATATGTTTGATTTGTTGTTTACCCAATCAATTTATATAAGAAACAACTAAAATAAATCAAAGAGAAAAGAAATATATAAGAGAGATTTTTACCAACCTTTTGATTGATGAATAGAGATCGAGAGATATGTTATAACTTGATAGAAAGTGGTCTATTTATATAATAGAAAACAAGTTGACTTGACATGAATTATGATCTATTTTGTTTTCTTTTTTAAATAATAATAATAATAATTTGGACTTAGAATATATGGCTTGCTATTTAATTTTTGTCTATACAAGGTGCATCATAGGTCAAATTTCATAAATGGAAAAATACTATGACTTTTTTCTTTAAAAGTCACATAATTATGTTTTTTAATAGAAAAATCTTATCTTTTTTTATCCTATTATGATGTCCTAACATGGAAATAATTTTATTAATTATTCTAAGTGATTCTTTCAATTAACTTATTTCTTTAATTAGTGTGCTTACATTAGAACTATGACAAGAAGCTCCATGTCATGTTTAATAATCTGTTTGACCAATCTTTTAAGACTAACTTATTTTGAAATATAACTTTTTCCAAAAGTGTTTTACAAAACTATTTTTGATAAGAAGTAGTTTATGTCTGACTAATAAAATTAAAAATCATATTTGAGAAATAAATAGTATTTGACCAAACTTTTTTAAATTGTTTTTAATTTAAGTGTATTTTCCTTATGTTTTTTTTTTTTAAAAAAAAAGTCCTTTAAGGAAAAATTAATAATTTAGCTTTGAAATAGTAGGTTTTTCATGTTTGGTGTTTCTTTCTTGAGCTTATGATGTCAAGTTCATTAGTCTTTTAGAGATGAACAAAAGTTATATTGAAAAATATACAAACCATTTATGATTTTTATATATATATTTGTTCTAAAAAATGTGCGGTGCATGTGTATTTCACGCTTAAAAATATAAATATTTTAAATATTAAAGTATTTGATTTAAATATTTAGTTGTCATATGAAAATGTGAAGATAATGACTACATTTTAGTTTTTAAAATTGTTTGTCCGTACGTTAATTTTTATTTTATAAGGTACATAATAGATGATGTTCTTGTTGTTGGTTCTCATATTTGACTTCTGATCGAATGTCTACGTAAATCAAAGATAGTTATTAAATGTCACGACTCGAGCCTACACCCTGAACGCGACCGACACTCAAGAACCATTGCTGGTCCCCAAGCGATCCCTCATCCTGGATGACTAAAAGTAAAAGACTAACTTGAGCATATATAAGAATCAAATTGAAAAAATGTTCCACTGAATATACTAATGATGAAACATAAGTTTTAAATAAAATATTTGAAACTGAAAGACTCTCCAAAACAGCCTATCTATGAAGCCTCTACTATAGACAGACGAGTGTCGGGACAAGACCCACAACTACTCAAAATTCTACTAATACTAAAAACTCATAAAACTGGATTCCTTCGGAAGCAAGGAGACCTCACTCGAGAACCATTGTTGGCCCCAAGCGAACCCTTGGCCTGGCTAGACTCTCAGCGGAAGACTTTACGCATTAATAAAGATATCAAAAGCACTTAAATCATCTATCTCAAAATAATTTAGAATGTTTTAGAAATAAACATTCAACTTAGCCAGAGTGGCAAACCAAGTCTTAACATAAACAACTGAAAATGGAAAGACAAGAGAACTATAACTATCCGTCTATGAAGCCTCTAAAAATAATGAGGGATGTCGGGACAAGACATCCGATCATCCTAATAACTGAAATACTAAACAATGAAAAAAGGATCCTCCAAAAAGAAATGAGGCTCACCAACTGAATGTGAATGCTCAACTGGATCAACGGGGAGCTGGGTGTTGATCCTGGTTACCTGTATCTGCATCATAAAATGATGCATGCCAAAATGCACCAGTACATTGAATGTACGAGCATGCAAGGGAAATACTAAACATGACATAAGATTGAAATGAATTCTGAAAGAATACTTGCCTCAGTTTTCCTCAACTCATGGATACTCAACTCAAATGCAGAATTAAATGACAGTAAAGGTGCAGTTTATATAAAACATTTAAAATAGTAAGAATCAACTCAATATACATATTTAATAAAGTAATATAACTCTATGGGAGTTTCTCTAACCGACAACCATCACTATGAGCTATGTGATGATACAACGTCTCGCCCATGCTGTAAGAACTGTCCTATAATTTGTCAGGATATAGAACGCCTCAAATAAGTGGATCCACTAGTCTATGCTAAAAAGTACTAAGGAATCGTCTAAAAAGTATGACCCTTTCTACCCACGATGGCTACATGGTTTATGGAGACTTGAGTTATTATTGAACTCGTCCCCTTATTGGTGCTCAATACTACTCCCAAAATATACTCAGCTCATATGTTTTAAAACAAAACTCTTTCTGTGATTTGAGGTAATTACTCAAAAAAACTTATCTCTTAAAAGAGATGGAACTCAAAACTACTCATTAAAACTCATTTGGAAATCGGTGTTTCCTCTTATCTTAAATGTGAAAACATTTGTTCTTTGGGATTACTTAGTTCTCATATATCATTATAAGAAATGAACTTGGCTCTACTCTTTCTTGAACTCAAGGCTTAAATCTTTAAAACAAGTTTAAAATGATTGCATAAGACTTTTTAAACACTCTAAGAACTCTCTTGACTTGACTCTTATCTTTACCTTGAATTTGATTTGTGGATTCAAGGGTCATGATCTCGTGTTATAGAGAACATCATGATGTTTAGACGTACCTTAGAGTGTAGAAATAAACTAGGAAACATAGGTACGATTCAAGGAAACTGAAACGGAAAGAAGTGGTAAAGGGTAGAAGACCCGACGTCCCAGAGGGCAAACTTCAGAAGTTGGGTTGGGGCACACCGGCTAGAGCGGCGCCCCAGAGCCCAAACTACAGAAGTTAATTTTGGGCGCTCTGAGTGGCGCGGCACCCCAGCCCCCTCCCTAGGTTTTTGACAAATTTTCTTGCTCATTTTTCAACTTTAAACTCTCTAGATTCGAATGGTTCCTTCCCCAAACGATTAGATTCGAATACATAACCAAAATATGCAAGAATCAACTCAAAACAACATTAAATTTCGTGAATTTAACTCAAGAACTTCTCAACAACTTCAACAATCAAGAACCAAATAGAAACATCAACAAAATATATCAAGAACTCTATTTCTATACTTTAAAGAACACAAATTCGTGGAATTAAATCATGATTGGCATGTGGATGAACTAACTCAATGCTATGTGATCTCACATACCTTGTAGGGATCAACCCTTGGAAAAATCAACGAGATTAACTTCAAGAACGCGACGAATCCTTGCTTCTTTTCCTCCTTTCTCCTCTTCTTTTCTCTTCTCTCAAAATCCTAACTTAATTTTGTAAAGCGTAAACCAAATCCTATCAGCTTAGACCCCAAATTAATTACCAAAAATGAATCTAATTAATTGGGTAGTGAAAGACCATAATACCCTTCAAAAATTCCGTTTTGACTTTCCTTATCTAGATAGCTCAATTTTGAATGGACATATCTCCCTCATGCGGACTCGAAATTGAGCAAATTTGGCGGCGTTGGAAAGATAATTCAATGATATTTCATACGGTATTTGGTAGAACACCTAAATCATCCTGAGATAGGAGTTATGGTCATTTGAAGTTGACCCAAAACTCATACTTAACTTAACTTTGCCAAACTTTCCAAATTTGAATATTCCCAACAACGATTTCTTCCAAATTCTAGTTCTTTCAAATAGCGAAGTGTTACAATATCTCCCCCCTGGGAACATTCGTCCTTGAATGAGATTACTCTTACTAGGCTAAGGGTGTAACATCTAACATTTAGTTCAAACACCTAACAAGCAAATCTAACACATTAAGCATATCAATTTAAAGAGTACTAAGAAGAGAATTAGTACCTTGAACTGGAATTTCTCCGGGCTCAAAGAGATGTGGATATCTCTTCTTCATATCCTCCTAATCTTCCCAAGTGGCTTCCTCAACAAAATGATTTCTCCAAAGAACTTTGACTGAGGCTACTTCCTTGGTCCTCAACTTGCGAACCTGACGGTCTAGAATCTGAACAATGAATCTCCTCATAAGACAAACTATCCTTGATACCAATATCTTCAGTTGGTATGATAAAGTGAAGGATCTCTCATGCACTTCTTCAACATGGAAATATAAAATACCGGATGGACCGCTGCTAATTCTTGCGGTAGCTTCAATTCATAAGCTACATTACCAATCCTTTTGGATATACTGTAAAGCCCAATATATCGTGGACTAAGCTTCCCCTTCTGACCAATCTCATAACACCCTTCATGGGTGAAACTTTCAAGTATACCCAATCATCTACTTCAAACTCTAACTCCCTTCTTCTAATATCATTGTAGGATTTCTGACGACTCTGCGTTGTTTTCAACCTCTCTTGAATGACTTTCACTTTCTCCATAACTTGATGAACTAGGTCTGGTCCTATCAACCCAGCTTCACCAGCTTCAAACCATCCAATAGGAGATCTGCATCTTCTACCATTAAGAGCTTCATAAGGAGCCATTTGGATGCTAGAGTGGTAACTATTATTGTAAGCAAACTCGATAAGAGGTAGGTGATCATCCCAAATACCCTTGAAATCAATCACACAGGCCCTCAACATATCTTCTAAAGTCTAAATAGTGCGCTATGCTTGACCATCTATCTGAGGACGAAAAGCAGTACTTAAGTTCATCTTTGAACCCAAGCCTTTCTGAAAAGATTTCCAGAACTGTGCAGTAAATTGTGAACCTCTATCTGATATAATCGATACCAGAACCCCATGAAGTCTGACTACCACTTAAATATACAACTTAGCATAATCTTCTGCTGAATGGGTAGTCTTTACCGGTAACAAATGGATTGATTTCGTCATTCTATCAACAATCACCCAAATAGA